GAGGGGGAGGGTGGGAAGAAAGGAGGGAAGGAAAAGGGGAAGGAGGGAGGGTTTAATAGAGAAAAGGAGGGAAAGGTGGAGGGAGGGAGGGAGGGGGAAGGGTACAGTGGTATGGGATTGAGAGGGAGAGAGAGAGAGACAGAGACAGAGAGAGAGGGAGAGAGAGAGAGAGAGAGAGAGAGAGGGAGAGAGAGAGAGAGAGAGAGAGAGAGAGAGGGAGAGAGAGAGAGAGAGAGAGAGAGAGAGAGAGAGAGAGAGAGGGAGAGAGAGAGAGAGACAGAGACAGAGACAGAGAGAGACAGAGACAGAGAGAGAGGGAGAGAGAGAGAGAGAGGGAGAGAGAGAGAGAGAGAGAGAGAGAGAGAGAGAGAGAGAGAGAGAGAGAGAGAGAGAGAGAGGGAGAGAGAGAGAGAGAGAGAGAGAGAGGGAGAGAGAGAGAGAGAGAGAGAGAGAGAGAGAGAGAGAGAGAGAGAGAGAGAGAGGAGAGAGAGAGAGAGAGAGAGAGAGAGAGAGAGAGAGAGAGAGAGAGGGCGAAAATAGGTTAAAGAAAAGATCAGCAAACAAACAAAACTGAAGATATATATACGTATATATATATATATATATATATATATATATATATATATATATATATATATATATATATATATATATATATACATATATATACATATATATGAATAAAGAAAATAATAACAACAAAACAAACGAGAAACAAAATAACACAAAAAAAAACGAAAAAAACACACGAAAAAATATCCCATTTAAAAATAAAAAAGCATTCACTTCAGCGAGCCAAGTCGTTTTCACATTTTTCTTTAAATATTTTTTTTCCTGATTTTTCTTTTTGTTTCATGATGGTAAGAAGCGCTGACTTAGGTCCTTCTTTCTCTCATCTCCCCTCTTATTTTCTTTGTTTTTTGTTTTTTTTTGTTTGTCTAGGATTCGTATATTTTGTTTGTGTATTCATGTATGTATGTATTTACGGGTGTATGTATGCATGTATGTATGTATGCATGTATGTATATATGTATGTATTTACGTGTGTATGCCTGTATGTATGTGTGTATGTATGCATGTATGTATGTATGTATGTATGTATGTATCTATGTATGTATTTATGTATGTATGCATGTATGTATGTATGTATGTATGTATATATGTATGTATGTATGTATGTATGTATGTATGTATGCATGTATGTATGTATGTATGTATGTATGTATGTATGTATGTATGTATGTATGTATGTATGTATGTATGTATGTATGTATGTATGCATGTATGTATGTATGTATGTATATATATATGTAAGTATGTATGTATGTATGTATGTATGTATGTATGTATGTATGTGTGTGTGTTTATATCCATGCATGTATGTATGTATGCTGTATGCATGTATGTATGTATGTATGTGTGCATATATGTATATATGTATGTACGTATATATGTACGTATGTATGTATGTATGTATGTGTGTTTGTATGCATGCATGTATGTATGTATGCTGTATGCATGTATGTATGTATGTATGTGTGCATATATGTATGTATGTATGCACGTATATATGTGCGTATGTATCCCTAAGCCTAGTACACAAGACGCCCGACGTCGGCGTCACATCGCGGAGGCAAAATTATCTCCCAGATCGTTCGACTTCCGAAAAACATTATTATTTTCTCCTTTAAAGAGATTGGATGGAGCTTGAGGGAGGAGGGAGGGGGGGGGGGGGAGAGGAGGAAGGGGAGGAGGAGGAGGAGGAGGAGGAGGAGGAGGAGGAGGAGGAGGAGGAGAGGAAGGAGGAGGAGGCGGGGGAGGGGGAAGAGGAGGAGGGGGAAGAAGAGGAGGAGGAGGAGGAGGAGGAGGAGGAGGAGGAGAACGAAGACGGGGTCTAAGAGGAAGAGGAGAAGGAGAAGGACGGGGAGGAGGAGGAGGAGGAGGAGGTGGGATGGAAAAAAGAAAGAGGAGAAAGAGAAGAAGAGGAAGAGGAGGAGAAAGAGGAAGAGAAGAAGAATATGAAGAAATTAAATAGACGTTGAGGAGGAGGCTTTAGAGAATGAGATTAAAGGGACGTAGGACAAGCAAAGAAAAAAAAGGAAAAAAAAGAAAAAATACATTAAAATAAAACACAGAATGGAAAAAATAGAACAAATTAGATAGAGAGAAAATGAAAGTAAATAAAATTAGTGACAAAAAAGAGGAGGAAGAAGCAAAAGAAGAGGAGGAAGAAAAAGGAGAAGAAGATGAGGAGGAAGAAGGATAAAAATAGGAATAGGAGGAAAGAGAAGAAGAGGAGGAGGAAGAAGGATAAAAAATGGGAAGAGGAGGAAAGAGAAGAAGAGGAGGAGGAAGAAGTATAAAAAATAGGAGGAGGAGGAAGGAGAAGAAGAGGAGGAGGAAGAAGTATAAAAAATAGGAGGAGGAGGAGGAAGGAGAAGAAGAGGAGGAGGAAGAAGGATAAAAAATAGGAAGAAGAGGAAGGAGAAGGGGAAAGGAAGAAGGATGAAAATAGGAAGAGGAGGAAGGCCTACCGCGAAGATTGGAGAGAAAATGCTTTCTTGATGCGATCTTTTTCCTAAAAAAAAAAAAAAAAGTCCCAGACAATTGCTTCTTCCTGGATGATGCTCCATCAGTGGGAGGAGGAGAAAGAGGAGGAGGGGGAGGATGGAGGAGGCGGAGTAGGAAGAGGAGGAGGGGGAGGAGGAGGAGGAGGAGGAGGAGGAGGAGGAGGAGGAGGAGGAGGAGTAGGAAGAGGAGGAGGATGGGGGATTTATAAAATAATATAAATAATAGAGAGGAAGAGAAGGTGAGAAAGAGAGAAAGAGAGAGAGAGAGAGAGAGAGAGAGAGAAGAGAGAGAGAGAGAGAGAGAGGAGAGAGAGAGAGAGAGAGAGAGAGAAAATAAAGCCAAATAAAAAAGAAGATTAATAGATCAACAGAAAATGGGAATTCGAGAACAGGGACCAACTAAAAAAAAAAAAAAAAGAAAGAAAGAAAGAAAAAAAAAAACACTTTTCTACTTTGTCAATAACAGCATATTCCGATAGCACCCCCCCCCCCCCCCTTGCTGCTAAGAAAGTGCCGAAAAAATATGTTCTTCATAGTCGGTTTCCAGAGATTTTTTTCTTAGAAAAATGCTGAAAAGTGGTGAAGAGTGGATTGATAAGAGAGAGAGAGAGAGAGAAAGAGAGAGAGAAAGAGAGAAAGAGAGAAAGAGAGGAGAGAGAGAGAGAGAGAGAGAGAGAGAGAGGAGAGAGAGAGAGGGAGCGAGCGAGCGAGCGAGAGAGAGAGAGAGAGAGAGAGAGAGAGAGAGAGAGAGAGAGAGAGAGAGAGAGAGTGAGAGCATCACCGCGATATGAATGCTGAGTGGCTTCCGGGGGGGGGAGGGGGGAGAAAGGGGGGTGGGGGGAGATGCTTGAATGGTTTGTCGCCTTCTGAAAAATGGGAGGATCGTGGGCGCAGTCATCTCATTTCTCCTCTACGGCTCCATGATGGCTTCCCCCCCCCCCCCCACCCTCTCCCCCGCAAAAGGGATCTCTCTCTCTCTCTCGTCGGCCTTTCATCCGAGGGGTCGGCGGTTTCGCGCCCCGCCCAGGCGCGAGAAGTTGCAATTGTCGCCTGGAGGTTACTGCTGTGGCTGGGCACCACGGTGGGTAAGGACTAAGCTCTGCCGAGTCAGCACCTGCTGACACACTGTTAGCGAGTCGACATTAGTCGGCACAGGCCGGGCTCCCCCCATAGCCCGGGCGAGGCTCAGCTTCGCATATCGGACTTATCCTTATATATCTCTCTCTCTCTCTCTCTCTCTCTCTCTCTCTCTCTCATTCTCTCTCTCTCTCTCTCCTCTCTCTCTCTCTCTCTCTCTCTCTCTCTCTCTCTCTCTCTCTCTCTCTCTCTCATTCTCTCTCTCTCTCTCTCTCTCTCTCTCTCTCTCCTCTCTCTCCTCTCTCTCTCTCTCTTTCTCATTCGCTCTCTCTCTCTCGCTCTCTCTCTCCCTCTACCTCTCCTCGTCTCTCGCTCTCTCTCTCTCTCTCATCTCTCGCTCCCCCCCCCCCCCCCCTCTCCTCTCTCTCTCTCTCTCTCCTCTCTCGCTCCTCGCTCTCTCCTCTCTCTCTCTCTCCTCCGTCCTACCTATCTATTTACCTATACATCTGTTTGCCCCCACCCTCTCTTTTTCCTTCTCCTCCTCCTCTTCCTTTTCCTCCTCCTCCTCCTCCTCCTCCTTCCTACTCCTCCTCCCTCCTCCTCCTCCCTCCCTCCTCCTCCTCCCTCCTCCTCCTCCTCCCATCCTCCTCCTCCTCCTCCCCACTCCCACTCACCCCTCCTCCTCCTACTCCTCTTCCTCCACCTCCTCCTCCTCCTCCTCCTCTCTCTCTCTCTCTCTCTTCTTCGTCTTCTTCTAATTCTCTTCTTCTCCTCTGGTTACTGTAGAGGATTATTTTTGCCGGTAACTGAGAGGTGTAGTCGTTGTGTGTGTGTACGTGTGTGTACATGTGTGAGTGTGTTTTCCCTCTATAACTGGAGGCGACGACTCGACCCAGTCGCAGAAAGGCTGTGTGTGTGTGTGTGTGTGTGTGGGGGGGCAGATCGGAGACGAATCTTCTCCAGTTTCTGTGGACTGGGGGGGGGGGGGGGCGTATTTGCCTGTATTCGGCGGGACAACCTTTTTCACCGTTGCTGGAAAGGGAGTGATTTTCCCGGTAACTGGGTGGAGTGGAAGGGGGAGAAGGGGGGAAGGGGGGAAGGGGAGAAGGGAAGGAGGGGTAAAGGGGGAGGGGTGATAAGGGGGAAGGAGGAGGGGGAGGGAGAGAAGGGGGAGGGGAGGAAGAAGGAAGGGGGAGGGGGAGGAGGAGGGAAGGGGGAGGGAAGGGGGAAAGGGGAAGGGGAGGGGGAGGAGGGGAAGGGGAGGAAGGAAGGGGGAGGGGCAGGAGGGTAAAGGGTAAGGGGAAAAGGAGAGGAGGGATAAGGGGGTAGAGGGAAGAGGAGGGGAGGAAGCGGTCAGGGGTCGTGTGTAACGTGGACAGTGGACTTAGGGCAACTGGGGAGATTTAAGAGTAGCTGCTGGAGGTAAATGGGGGGAAAAGTTGAGGAGAGTGCGAAAGGTGGGGGGAAAATGTTCTAGATGGTAAAGGGCAGAGGGGGAGGAGGAAAGGGGTCGAGTCAGGAGGCGCCATGTTTCTGTGTTGGTAGTGCTCCGGGGGAGTGGCAGGCGGGACGTTTATCTTGTTGGATTGCCTTTTCTTTTTTAGTCTTGCATTGTGTCTCTTCCTACGTGCTATTTCACTTGGGTGTATTTCCGTTTGTATACCCTGATTTCACCTTTTTATGGTTGGCGGCATATTGGCTCGCCCTGCTTTCCTCTTTTATTTGTTTTGCTGTCCGTTTTCTTTCATGATGTACCTGGATAGTTTTTTTTTTCTTTACATTTGTAGCATGCATCGTGATGACTTGTTGTTAATTGCTTTACGTTCCCCGCTTAGTTTTTTTGCGTTAATGGGGGCATCTTCCTTCTTTCCGTTTTCCTTCATTCCTTATTTCTTTGTCCGGTGTCATCTTCCCTCTTTCCCCTTTTTTCTTTTTTTTTTGCCTCTTTCGACTTCCCTTTTTCTTCTGGTTTCTGCTTTGATGTCCTGCTTTCTTCCTCCTTATTTCCTTGTGCCTATTCCTGCTTGGCCTTTGTCTATTTTTTTTCTTTTCTTTTTCTTCGTTTGCTTCCTTCGTCTCCTCCTTCTTTTTCTTTACTATTTTTAGTGTTCTTTATTTCCAATGACAGTGTACAGGGGTATTGAACAGCAACGGCTAATCTATCCTAAAGCGCCTTCCTATAATCAAGTCTCTGCCGTTACGATAGAATATTCAGTCGACTTTATGGCAATGAGATATGGGAAAATAGGCCTAAAGCACAAGAGGAAAATGCAAGAGGCGGATGAGAAGGACGAAAAGGACGAAAAGGAGGAGGAGGAGGAAGAGGAGAAAGGGAAAGAAAGGAAGAAGAGGAGGAAGAGGAAGAGGAGAAGGGAAGCGAGATGGAGGAGATAGGAGAGGAGGAAGAGGAGGAGGAGGAGGAAGGGAATAATTGGTAGAAAGAAGGGGAAGGAAGAAGAGGAGGAAAAAGAAGAGGAGAAGGGAAGAAAGATGGAGGAGATTAAAGAGGAGGAGGAGTAGGAGGAGGAGGGAAAAGAAGAGGAGGAAGAGAAAGATAGGGAGAACGGAGGAGAAGGAAGAGTGGGGAGGAAAAAGGGAAAGATGGGAGAAGGAGGAAAGGAAAGATAGGGAGAAGGAAAAGGAAGAGAAGGGGGAGGAAGAAGAGAAGGGAAAATATAGAAGGAAGAAGAGGAGAAGAAGCATGAATTAAAATGAAGGACAAAGAGGAAGAGAGGATAACAAAAATTACAGAGGAAATCAAGTAATCTTGGAAAATTGATATAATGATTATTTCTTTATTTCTTTATTTCTCCGTATTATGTTTAATATGTTTGATATCTTTAAAACTCATTTATATAATATTCAAACTGATTTACTCCACTTTATCTATTTCTCTTTTACATTGTATTCTTTTTGTTTATCAATTTAATTTCGTGAATTTTATTTCGTTTCACATTTTATTGTCATTTTGTTTCTTTGTTTTCGTTTTTTTGCTCAAAACTAACTTGGGGAAGTGAGTTGCCAGTTTCCTATTTTCTGTGAATATAATTACTACTTCTAACTAAAATGCTACTTTTATCGCGACAAAGAAAGTATTACAGAAAATCGTAAAAAAAGGTTAAAGGAAAAATAAGACAAAAAGGATAAAGAAAAGAGAAGGTAGAAAGCGAAGAAAGGAAAAAAAAAACACGAAGGGATACGATAAAAAAGAGAGAGAAAAAAAATATATATATACAGAAAGAAAAGAAAAAACAAAGAAAGGGAATAACAAAGAAAGAAACACCTAGAAAAATAGAAACACAAGAATTCTTTTTCAAAAAAATAAAAAACCCAAAGCAAAAAAAACGAAAGCAAAAGAGAAAGAAAGAAAAAAAACCTTCGTGTACACAAAAGGCGACTCGCTTGCATTTCAAAATAAGACCCCCGAGTTCCTCAAATGAAAGCCTGTGGGCGTGTGGCTTCCTGTAACGACCTGCCCGAAGCCCTTTCCTTGTAACGGAGATTATTTTCAGAATCCCCTACACCCCCCCCCCCCCCCTATATCCCCAACTCCCACCCCCGACATTGAGAGAGAGAGAGAGAGAGAGAGAGAGAAGAGAGAGAGAGAGAGAGAGAGAGAGAGAGAGAGAGAGAGAAGAGGGAAAAAGTATATTGTTTTCATTATCCCCTCGATCCTTTGAAAGAGAGAGAGAGAGAGGGGGGGGGAGGGAAGGAGAGAGAGAGAGAGCGAGAGAGAAAGAAAAATGGAGAGAAAGAGAAATAGAGAGAAAGGGAGAGAAGAGAGAGAAAGAGAGACAGACAGAGAAAGAGAGAGAGAGAGAGAGAAAGAGAGAGAGAGAGAGAGAGAGAGAGAGAGAGAGAGAGAGAGAGAGAGAGAGAGAGAGAGAGAGAGAGAGAGAGAGAGAGAACAAAAGATGAAAACGTATTTTGCTCTTTGGATTCTCCTTATCCCCAAGAAATGAAAAAAAGGGGAAAAAAGGTTCTTCGAGGGGAAAGTAATCACGAGTTCGGCCCCAAACATCTTGCCTCGTACTATTATTGCTCGTTATGCTGTGATAATTACTCGTTGACAATCGTCGGGCAGTAATGGCACCAGAGTTCCCACGTAGCAAGTAAATGACATGGGCCTGATGTCAAGTACTTCCTTCAATGGCAGCGGCAGGACCCCAAGGCCCTCGAGGCGCGTCCTCCTGTCTCCCCTTCTGCGTAAGTCATCGCCAGGGCGCGTGACAACGATTTCCGGGGGCAGGAGAAGGGGGGAGAGGGAGAGAGAGCTGGTCAAGAGCCCCCCTGGGGAAGCAGCCACATAGAGCGCGGGGGCGTCGAGAACAGGCACGCCCCTCGCACCTTGTTGGTATTCTGGAGGAGGCGCCGACGGTACGAAATCATCCGGTGGAGGTTTGATGCAGTCGGCCTGTCCCTGCTGGAGCTTATTGTCCCCAAGGGTGGGTGGGCTTCATTGCGAAGGGGGGGGGCTGTATTGAGAGGGAGAAGGGGGCATGGGTGTAAGAAGGTGGGGGGGAGGGCTGTATTGAGAGGGAGAAGGGGGCATGGGTGTAAGGTGGGGGGGGAGGGGGAGAGAAAGGGAAGGTTGCAGAGACGGAAGGAAGTATAGGAGTGAAGGGAGAAGGGGCGGAAGGAAGAAGGGGTAGATGGGGAAGGGAGATATATATGGGAGGTGAAGAGGGAAGTAAATAGGGGAAGGAGGAAGAGGAGGTCCGTATGGAAAAGTAGAAAGGGAAATCGGGAAAGTATAAGGTAAGCAGGAGGAGCTTCAGAAAGAGTAAAAGAGTGAAAGGAACAATAGAAGAAAAGAAAGCAACATAGTGGGAAGAAAGGGAAGAGTATAAGAGAGATAATGGGATAAAAAAGGGAGTATGTATTATAGTGCGTCCTGCTAGAGTGCCTGTACATAAAAGGGAGCAAATGATAGTACAGTACTAACCGGGGGACACTAGAACAGCTCAAGAGAAGTGACTACGTAAAGGGAGACAGTGTTAAGCTAAGGGCACTATGGGGGTGTCATGAAGGGAGGAAAGAGAGAGAAGACGGCTCAGTATAATACTTTATACGTCATGGTTTATTCTCCAGTTCATGGCGTATAAAAATTATTAGAATGACGTTTTACAATACGGCTTTATGTCAAACGTCTTTTCTTTGTCTTTCCAGTCGTTCTCGTTAGTTCATGATTGCGTTATCAAAATCTCATGATATCTGTGATTGGCTTGATCTTTATTAAGTGTATTATATAGTGAGAGGGGGGGAGGGAGGAGGAAGGGGAGAAGGAGGATGAGAAGAAGAAAGCGGAGGATGAGGAGGAGGAAGATCCGGAAGAGAAGGAGGCAGAGGAAGAGGAGGAAGCGGAGGAGGAGGAGGAGGAGAAAGAGGAGAAAGAAGCGAAGGAGAGGAGGAGGAGGAGGAAGATCCGGAGGAGATGGAGGAGGAGATGGAGGAAAGAGAGGAGGAAGATCCGGAGGGGATGGGGGAAGAGGAGGAGGAGGAGGGAAATGAAGAAAATAAGGAAAGGGAATATCTATCATGCATACTGTATACTAAATCTTCTCAGTCAGACATATAAAATAAAATGCAAGAATACGAGAAAGGTAAGAAAATCCGAAAATTACATGTGATAAGCCAATCATCCCTTCCTTGTGCGAGCAAAAGTCTTGCTTTTCATCGAGCTAATCTGTCCAAAGTTCCCTTCTCGATATCCTCTTCCTCTTCCCTTTCTCTCTCTCTCTCTCACTCCTCTCTCCACTTCTCTCTCTCTCCTCTCTGCTCTCTCTCTCGTCTCTCTTCTAAACCCTCTCTCACAATCTCCTCTCTCTCTCTCTCTCTTCTCCCTCTCATTTCCTCTTTCCATCTCTCTTCTCCTTTATCTCTCTCTATATTCTCTCTCATCCCGCGCCCCCTCTCCTTCTGCCCATTTCTTCTCATTCCTGATTCCTCTTTCGTTTCCTCCTCCCTCCTTTACTTTTTTTTTCCCTATCTATCCTTTCCCCTACTATCTCGTCTTTTTCCCTCTTCCTCCAATCCTCAGATCTCTTCCCTTACCTCCTTTCCTTCCAGCTTCTCCCATCAACCCTCCCTCCTACACCTCCCTCCCTCCCAAGCCCCTTCCTCCTTCCCGCCCCTCATGCCCCTCCTCTCCTCCCCTCCCTCCCCCCCTCATGGCCCCTCTTTCACCCCCCTCCCTCTCCTGCTCCCTCCTCACAACACCCCAGCAATAACTACTTAGATTCGAACGGCCCAACTCGTCGGGTAGTTTTCCTGTCAGCGCCTCCTGTCATGCGAGACACATGCATAGTGAAATCCGGGAAACTTTCCCCCTCGCCACTGACTTTTGCTTTCCTCCTCCTGCTTCTTCTTCTTCTTCTGCTCCTTCTTTTCTTTACCTCCTCATTCTCTTCTTCCCCTTCTCTGTTTCTTCTTCTCCTTCGTTTCCTTCGTTTTGATTTGTTCTTGTTTTTCTTCTTCTTCTTGTTTTATTCCTCTTGTTTTCCACCTTCTCCCTTCCTTCCATCTATGCCTAGCTCCTCCTGTTTCCGCCCCCCCCCCTTTGCCCCCCTCTTCACCTTTCTTCCTCCGCCTCCGCCTCCTCGTCCTCCTCCTCCCCCTCCTTCCCCTTTTCCGCCTCCTTCCCGCCTCCTCCCGTCCTTCGTCCTCCTCCTCCTCCTCCTCTTACCCTTTTCCTCTTCATGCCCTCTTCTCCTACCCCCCCACCCCCCCCCCCTTCCTCCCTTTCTGTAGTTTGTGGGGATTATAGTTTATAACATTTTTGGTGCGAAAGTTGAATGGGATTTTTTTTTAATCCAATATCCAAATGCCCGTTTATCATCTTCTTTCTATCTACTTTTATTTTCTGTCGACTTCGTCGAACCAGTCTTAGTTTGTGTCTTCTGTCTCTTTCATATTTCCTACTTCCGCGTTTTCGTACCTTGCACTTATCTTTCCTTTGTCCCTTCTCTTTGTTTCTCCCTTAATTTCCCCTTCCATCCTCTATTCTTTTTCGCCTTCTTCCTCTCCTTCCTCCTCTTTTCGGCCTTCTCTTCTCCCTGTCACCTCTTCCGGTCGTTTCCCCCCCCCCCTCCTCCCCCTCCTACTTGCCCTCCCGTTCCTACCTTTCTTTCTTTTCTTCCCCCCGTCCCCTCTTCCATATCCCTTCTATCTCCCCTCCCTCCTTTCCCTTCGCCTCTTCCTCTCCCTCAAACCCCATTTTACCCCATCCCTTTCCCCCCATTTCCTCTCCACCCTTTTCCGCTCCCTCTGTCCTCTCCCACTCAGTTTCCCCTTCCCCCCCCCCTGTTTCCCCCTTTCTCCCTCCTTTCTTCTCTGTTCCTCACCCCCTTTTTCTTTCCCCCCTTCCCTCTCCCTCTCTCTCTCTCTTCTAAAAAATTCCTTCCCTTCCCCTGCCGTTCTCCGCTTCCCCTTCCACTTTTTCTCGGTCTTTTTTCTCTTTCGCCTTTTTTTGCTTTTTGCCTGTCTCGCGTACCAACCCCCCCCCCCTATCCTCTCTACACCCAACCAACCCCCCCCCCCCCCCCTTTTTTTTTTTGTTGTTTGGTGGTTGGGGGTGATTTTTTTTGTGTGCCCCCCCCCCCCCCCTGTGTTTTCCAACACTTGGGGGCGGGGGGAGGGAGGAGGAAGGGGAGAAGGAGGATGAGAAGAAGAAAGCGGAGGATGAGGAGGAGGAAGATCGGAAGAGAAGGAGGCAGAGGAAGAGGAGGAAGCGGAAGAGGAGGAGGAGGAGAAAGAGGAGAAAGAAGCGAAGGAGGAGGAGGAGGAGGAGGAAGATCCGGAGGAGATGGAGGAGGAGATGGAGGAAGAGGAGGAGGAAGATCCGGAGGGGATGGGGGAAGAGGAGGAGGAGGAGGAAATGAAGAAAATAAGGAAAGGGAATATCTATCATGCATACTGTATACTAAATCTTCTCAGCAGACATATAAAATAAATGCAAGAATACGAGAAAGGTAAGAAAATCCGAAAATTACATGTGATAAGCCAATCATCCCTTCCTTGTGAGAGCAAAAGTCTTGCTTCATCTGAGCTAATCTTCCAAAGTTCCCTTCTCTATATCCTCTTCCTCTTCCCTCTCTCTCTCTCTCTCCTCTCTCTCTCTCTCTCTCTCTCTCTCTCTCTCTCTCTCTCTCTCTCTCTCTCTCTCTCTCTCTCTCTCTCTCTCTCTCTCATTTCTCTCTTTACATCTCTCTCTCCATTTATCTCTCTCTATTTCTCTCTCTCCCTCTCCCTCTCCTTCTCCCATTTCTCTCCATTCCTGATTCCTCTTTCGTTTCCTCCCTCCTTTAACTTTTTTTTCCCTATCTATCCTTTCTCTATCTCGTCTTTCCCTCTTCCTCCAATCCTCATATCTCTTCCCTTACCTCCTTCATCATTCTCCTCATACCCTCCCTCCTCTCCCTCCCTCCCCTCAAGCCCCTTCCTCCTTCCCTCCCCTCATGCCCCTCCTTCTCTCCCTCCCTCCCCCCCTCATGCCCCTCTTTCCCTCCCTCCCTCCCTCCTCACAACACCTCATCAATAACGACTTAATTCGAACGCCCACAAATGCGTCTGGTAGTTTCCTGTCATGCGCCTCCTGTCATGCAGAGGAATCATGCAGAGGGAAATCCGGGAAACTTTCCCCCCTCTCCACTGACTTTGCTTTCCTCCTCCTGCTTCTTCTTCTTCTTCTTCTCCTTCTTTTCTTTACCTCCTCATTCTCTTCTTCCTTCTCTGTTTCTTCTTCTCCTTCGTTTTCTTCTTTTTATTTTTCTTGTTTTTCTTCTTCTTCTTTTTTATCCTCTTGTTTCACCTTCTCCTCTTCCTCCTTCTATTCCTACTCCTCTTCCTCCCCCCCCTTTCCCCTCTTCCTCCTCCTCCTCCTCCTCTTCCTCCTCCTCCCCCTCCTTCCCCTTCCCCTCCTTCCCCTCCTCCTCCTTCCCTTCTTCCTCCTCCTCCTCCTCCTCTTACCTTTCCTCTTCATGCCCATCTTCTCCTACCCCCCCCCCCCCCCCTTCTCCCTTTCTGTATTTTGTGGTGATTATATTTTATACATTTTTGGTGCGAAAGTTGAATGAGATTATTTTTATTAATCCAATATCCAAATGCCCGTTTATCATCTCTTTCTATCTACTTATTTTCTGTCTACTCGTCTACCAGTCTATTTGTGTCTCTGTCTCTTTCATTGTCTACTTCCCTTTTTCGTACCTTCCTTTCTTCCTCTTTTTCTTAATTCCCTTCCATCCTCTATTCTTTTTCAGCCTTCTTCCCTTCTCCTCTTTTTCTTCTCTTCTCCCTGTCACCTCTTCCGTCGTTTTCTCCTTCCCCCTCCTACTCTCCCTTTCCTACCTTTCTTCCCCTTCCCCTCTTCCATATCCCTCTATTCTCCCCTTTCCTTCTTCCTCTTCCTCTCCCTCAACCCCAGTTTTCCCCATCCCTTTCCCCATTTCCTCTCCCC